ACTATTTCAAGCATACTACGTCATCGAGTGCCACCGAAGGACTGTTCCAATGTCCAGTATACTTGGAATTCTACCGAGGCCGGCGTACTTCGTAGCGGCAAATTTCGAGGCTGCACATGTGTAGACTCCACGGTCTTAACAAATCCCCACAATGCTTTGCGCACGGACCAATTTCCAAATCTTTGGCGGAAATCGCGCTCCATTTAAGGGGGGGGGCCTCGCATATGACGCACACCTGCACACCTGTTAGCCTGTTCCACAATTCTTCGTTTTTTCCGAAGCTAGGAAGGATTCTTGCCTCGCTTCTGAAGCAAGTGACTCGGAAGACATGTGCTACCAAGCAAGCGTCCTCGACATTGAGAAACACACAGTGTTCCCCTAGTCTAGGCAAGGTCCCATTAGGATATCAACGATGTATCATTGATAGTGGTTCCTAATCTGAATGCTAAAATGCTTAATGACCATGCTAACACGCTCTGATATGATCAGTTGTGTTTTTTACAATGTTTACCATCTTAGTTACGTGTGTTAGCATTCTTACATGACCAAGCATGACTAATATCATTAGTTATTTGGACGCAAAGTTTCAGGTAAAATACAATTGTGATCTTGTGGGGAATGTGGAGAAATTCCATGACCGGCCATCAAATATTTTAAAACCTTAAATGTTAACCTCATGGTGGCGCTAGAGGGAAAATTAGTAGATCATCAAAGTACTTGTTTAGGTCTGGACGAAAGTGTTGGGACAGTCTGACCAGCAGTGCCATTCATAAAGCACCTCTAAACAGACTTCAGTTTGAAGCTAAATGAGAGACTGAGATACCACAAATGTAGTGCAAACTCCGAAAGAAAGTGCTATAAAGTTATTTAAAGTCATGAGTGTATTTTATATCACCCATCCGAAGAGAGATGTTCAAGTGATTCGTGCCCACTCTGAACAAAAGTGGGCACGAATGAGAATCCAGTGGAGCTGAGTTTTATACGTGATGTCCCTCTCCGCTTATCTGAACTGACAGGCTGTACTCTGCTGCTCCTCCCGGGTCACATCTTAGCCCTCCACATTAAACATGGAAAATACCACAAATTCAACCTTAAAGGGAAGATATCTGATTATTGATCCTGTCCTTTTGTCTAGATCAATTATATAAATAAATACACTAAGTAACAACCACAGCAGTTTTCTGAGTGTTGGATGTTTGCTACACCGTCGTCTACACTAGTGACCTGGCATGCAAAGTATTATGATTAGGAAAATCCTCGGTCCACAGATTCCTTACATGCCATCACAAAACGTAGCTGTCAAAGCAGTCAGGCCCAGACTTAGGTAGTTGACCCTCTCACGCCTATTGTCTCATATGGGAGAGAGTTAAAGGACTCTGTTATAGTAACAAAGATGTTTTGCAGCATTTTTTTACGCGTGGTTGTACGAGAGGCAGCTTCATCAGAGTCACTCCGTTTGGGTGCGATGGGGGGGCTTCAGTGAATCAGGAATATTGTTTCTGCTTTGCAAGGATTAGTCAGGAATCTCATGTTAAAGGGGACCTATCATGCTATATTTGAATAATATATTGTAGGGCCATACCTATATAAGGTATATTTATAAGTTTTATTTTTCAAAATACCAAACAGATCATGCATTTGAGCCATTCCTCATTTCGCTCAATTTAACACTGTCTTTGCATGGGC